GGAAGAATAGCTTCTTCTTTCCATTTCTAGAAACTTCCAGAAAAAAAAATTCATCTGGGTTTGTTTTTTAGTTTATTTGTTGATTTTCTTGTAATTTTCGATCTGGGTATTACTTAGTTTTAATGGATAATTTCTCAACAACGGCGGCGAAGACGGTGGATGGGGTGGTGGGGGAAATTATGAAGATGCATAAATCTCTACCCAGTCGTCCAGACATTGAAGAAGTTGAAGCTGCGAAAACTCTAATCAGAAACATTGAAAGAGAAGATCAGTTGAAATTGGAAGCCATTGCTAAGCAAACTAAAGGTAGAGCAGTACCAGAGGAGCTGTTCTTTCTGTACCAAGAGATGCAGAAAGCTTTAGTTCAGTTTCAGAGCAAAGAACAGAAGAGGGATGCTGTGAAATTGCTTGATCTTGAGAATGCACACAATGTGTTCGACGAAATGATTCAAAGAGTTTCTCAGTGTATTTCACCTTCTGCTGATTCTGGGCAATCATCTTCTTCGGTGCAGAAGAAGGATTTGAGTGTTGGGCCAACTGGGCCTGTGTTAAAGTCAAGGGATTTGGATTCTTCAGTTGCTTCTACAAGTTTTTATAATTTGGAGAAGAAGGCGCCTGTTAAGAGTGAGCTGTTTACTAAAGATGATAGTTATGTTAAGAAATCTAAAGCTGCTACTGCTACTTTCCATGTTGATGGGTTTGATTCTACTCTCAAGATATCCAAATATTCAGGTAAAAATAAAGTTTCCTTTTTTGTCATTAATTATAGTCTTTATTGTTGTTTTTTGAGTGGACAATGATATATTTGCTGACTTTGAGGGGTTGGGCAATTGTTTTTATTGAATTTTATTGGTGGGATTTCATGGTAAAGTGTAAATTTTTTGATTTGAATGAAATTGATGATTGTTGTTGTTTGGGGATTGGTTTTTCTGACTTTTGAGGTTGTCTGGATTTGCGCATTTATCAAGAATTTCTCTGTTTTGTTTTTGCTGTTTGTAGCTCAAGATGCTGCTGAGAAATTGAGTTTGATTAAACTAGCTAGCTTGATTGAAGTGTCTGCAAAGAAGGGTACTAAAGAGCTAATTCTCCAAAACAAGTTGTCTGATCAAGTTGAATGGTTGCCTGATTCCATTAAGAAGCTATCAGGTTTAATCACTCTTGATTTGTCAGAAAATAGGATTGTGGATTTACCTGATACTATTGGAGGGCTTTCCTCCCTGTCAAAATTGGATTTGCATTCAAACAGGATTACTGAGCTCCCAGATGCAATTGGGGATCTCTTGAATCTTGTTTGTCTGGATGTACGAGGAAATTACTTGGTTAAACTCCCTCCAAGTGTTGGTCGGTTGATCCGTCTCGAGGAGCTTGATGTGAGTTCAAATAAGTTACACTCGCTCCCTGATACTGTCGGGTCTTTGGTTAGTCTTAAGAAGCTGAATGTGGAAACTAATAATCTCGATGAACTTCCTCATACAATTGGTCTATGCTCTTCTCTTGAGGAGCTTCGACTCGACTATAACCGGCTTAGAGCCCTCCCTGAAGCTGTAGGAAAGATTGAGTCCTTGCAGGTTCTTTCTGTCCGGTACAATAACATTAGACAGCTGCCTACCACAATGTCATCTCTAGCAAAGCTTAGGGAGCTCGACGTGAGCTTTAATGAGCTTGAAGCTGTGCCTGAGAGCTTGTGTTTTGCTACCTCACTTGTCAAGCTGGTTGTCAGTAACAACTTTGCAGATCTGCGTTCTCTTCCGAGGTCAATTGGGAACCTTGAGATGCTTGAAGTGTTAGATATGAGTAACAACCAGATCCGTGTTCTGCCTGAATCATTCAGGTTGTTATCACGATTAAGAATGTTTCATTCGGATCAAAATCCTCTGGAAGTGCCTCCTAGACATATTGCTGAGAAGGGTGCACAGGTGTGTGCAAATCTCTCCCCTGCTCCCTCCCTTAATTTGTGCTGGATAGTGTGATCAGTTGTGTTTTACTTTTACAGTAGCTAATCAGTACTAATTATAAAATGTTATGCTATTCAGGCTGTTGTTCAATATATGGCCGATCTTGTAGCAAATAAGGATGTCAAGCAACAACCCACAAAGCAGAAAAAGTCTTGGGCACAAATATGCTTCTTTTCACGGTCAAACAAAAGGAAGCGCGGTGGTGCAGATTATGTCAAGACATGATTCATCTAGACTGAAAAGAAAACCAACCTCATAATTCTGCTAGGTATGCAAATTCATCTCCTTTTACTACTACGTCAATGTATTATTATCATCTGCTAAGGGTAAAAGCACCGAGCTTAAAGCCTTAAGGATCCAACTGTCACTGATTATGTAGTCTAATTTCGTAGAGTTAGGAATAATTATTGCATAGTAATAATACTACGTACACGATTACTAGGGATTATTTTCCACCAATTGTCCTTGCATATGCTACGAATAATTAAATGTAATCTATCCTAGAGGGGGGCGAAAAACGGATTCTGTGGTGCACTTTCGGAGATGCACGAACAGGCCGACAGTTAAGGGGTATGAAGGGGTGATGTTATGTTAATTGACAATGATGTATATGAAGCAAAGCTCATGTGCCTTTGCCTTGGTCATGGACAGGGAAGCTGAGCTGTTTGTTGAGTCACATGGAAGGAAGTTGAGGCTCTTCTTCTTATTTACCAACATTCAACAATGAATTCAATCCTTTCACAGCCTTGACTAAGCTGTTGTAAACGTGCCTTTGTCTCTCTCATTGTAGATTTTTTTTTTAATAATTATTTTATTTATTATGTCATAATTCAATTGTATTTCTGGAGATGGAGATATACGAGATTGTAAAGCTTTTAATTTTTTTTTTTTAAAAAAACCCAGAAAAGTATGAGTAGTTGTAATTAAAAGTTTCACGTTTATTGTTGTTGAAATGAAAGTGTATCTCTGTTCACGTTTCTTCAGTGTGCTGGCAAGTTTTTGTTGTTGATTTATTCAGATATATACTGGTTTTCTGACTTTGGAAATTGAATATTGGATCTGATTAACATGAAGTATTATTTTAAATGCTTGAAAATATAATGGTTAAATATCATTAAAAACAGATTCTAGTTGTAATCAAGATACTTTACGTGTTGTCATGTAAGAGGGCGGGAAATATAGTTGCACACCTTGTAGCTAGGTGGATTTTGTTGGATTGGAAATCAGTTTGATTTTATATAATTGCATCTAATTTCTCCCTAAAAATAACTAAATCTAATGATTGAAATATACATGGGTTTTTGTTTAGGTACCCCATAGAATGGATCCTAAGACAAGGGTCTTAATTTGGGAACCATGAAAGGGATAGTTTGTTTCTAGTAATGTGATTTATCTTCCGCTTTATTAGTCGTTGAAAAATTGAAATACTACTCCTTAATTATTATTGACTTTTCTATACCTTAATTATTATTGAATTTTCAATACCTTAAATTGTTGACAAGAAAAAATGATCAATACTACGTGCAAAATCTTTTATGTTCAGTTGTTTTCTCATTTTGTGTTGGCCTATTTAGTTCATTTTTCTTTTGGGTTGTCTTCAAATCACAAAATTCAAACTTACAACCTCCTTTTTTTTTCTTTTTTTTTTTTGGGTGTTTAATCGAGTTTATGCTTCTCAAAGATCGAACCTTCGTGGTTAATTTTCGAGTTTTTATCTGTTTTGCAAAGGTAGTTTGCAAACTTAACGGTTCTTCCAAGATGACGGTAGAAGATGATGTAGTTTGATGTCTATTTTCAAATTGCTTATTCTGCATGAAAAAATAAACAATTTTTTCAACATGAAAACTTAGAGTATAAGAATATTATTAACAGTGGGTAAAGTTTGCTGATTTAAGAGACTTTATGTACCACTAAGGAGAATATTACTCAATGTGATTTACGTAGAGAATCTTCTTGGTTGAATCAAGGTCTTAATTAATCAATTCATAAATTAATTAATGATGAATCTACACCAATGGATTTCAGGACCCGTCTAAATTAAAGTATTTAATTTGAGTAATTTCCCATCTTACCCTTACCATGGGTAAAAGAAAACTAGGCTATCCCTTTGGTAGAAGAAGCATCCTTCAAAAGACCATAGTATTTGTGAGTATTCTTGGTTTCTAAACAACAAATTAAAAAGTGTACAAATCTCCCTTTATTATCTTAAATTATGTAAAACATAACCATGAGGGAAGTCTCATAAGATTTTAGGTCACGTGACAAGAAAAATGAATGAAAACGAAAACTAATTACAAAATGAGTGATGTTTCAAGTTAATTTGAAACTTTCTTAGATGTAAAGGGTTGCCATTTTTCGTCAAAAAATGTTACATTTACTACTGCGTATGAAAGTGCGTCTCAAATTGAAGGTACAATATAAAAAAATTGCATAGAAATAATTAATTCTTTATGCAACTCCACGACGGTCTTTTTTTTTTTTTTTTTTTTTTTAATTTATCATCATAAACAAACAAAATTCAGACTATGAATAATATTAATTCAAAAAAATTATAATCCTCCGTATAAATATGCCCTAATTTTTAGAGATGGAAAAATAACAAATATATCAATGATTAATAGTGTTATTGTCCAATGAAATATCCATTTGACGGTTGTAATTAAACTTAAAACAAAATAAGAAAAGAGGAAGCATGTGGGGATGCCCAACATGTGTGGGATTGTCTACATTGATAGGGAGTGCACTAATAATGACATAAATATTGCTCCCTTGCCATCCCTCTCAAGTAGAGTATATTTTTTAGAATTATTACTGTAATTTTTTTTTGTCTTTTTTGTACTTTATTTATTTGAAGGAATTATTATTGGTACTTAATTTATTTAAAGATATTATTTTTGGTAAGATAAAGCTTATATAAAGTGGCTTTATACAATGTGGTGGCTTGAATGGAGCTCTCAAGTGGAAGCTTCTTTGATAGTAAATTACAAACAAAAGTACATCTCATCTGAGAATTTAAGAATATTTTGCATCAAAAAGTTCCTGGAATAAAAAACACTGTTTTCATGGCTTTTATGTCTTACCCTTGAGATAAACAAAAAACGCGATACAATCCAGTCAGGAATCCACATCCGACCTCATCTAACTAGATCTCATCACAGAATCAAATATGCCGTCCAGTTTGACTTCGGGAATGTAAAACTGGATGGCATGTTAGATGTTACAGAGTACAACCTATGCACTAACACAGAGACAAGAATCACAAGGTTATGATATCAAACCTGGTAAACAAAATCCAGCAAATGAATGGGTGTAATGTTAATGTAAACAGAACTCGAAGTATGGTGTTTGGTTAAGGCTGTGGGAAGTAAGCTAGTTCTTGCAACTAACATGTTTTGATGCCAAATGAAAGCTTCAGTGAATTTCAAAGGCTTGAATTCATAATGTTGTCTCCAATTCTCTATTGCAGCTAATATCTCCACTAGTCGGTCTGCACGATTTAACACAAGGAATATCATTTATCAGTAGTAAGCATCATGACATAGGGGTAGTTAACAGAATTTTGTCTTATAAATTGAAATGAAACAAAGGTTACATGAATCATGAATTAATAAGGACTACGTAGAACTAAAATGATTTTGACCCAATTATGCAGCATCATGCGTACACTGCAAGGCTCTATGGTCTATGGTGGTAGATTTCAGCTCTACTGTAGTAAACTAGTAGTTGATACTTGATAACGTTCTTAGTCAAGGCTATGAGCCTATGATTGTTATCATTCAGGGTAAAAAATGAATGCTCAAAGTAAAACTTACTAAATTCAGAAAGTGCCTTATTACTTTGGGGAAAGAATTGTGGCCTATTATACAGAGAGAGCCCAGACAGGAGTAAATTTTTGCAGGTCACCTCAAGCATAACAATTAATTGATCATACGATTATGAACTATGCTGCTTATTTAGTAATCAACAATGTAGCCTACTAGTATGAATGCAAAAGGGCATGTCAAGTATATAGCCATATACCGTGAAATCACAATGGCAAGTTGGCAACACCTATCACTAGAACAAATCTATTCTCTATAATGGTTATACTGGTTAGTGGTAATAAATGGCTTCCGCGACAGATAAGATATCTTGGCTCAAAGAAGCATTATATCTATTTATATTGAGATATATTAAACTAGCACGCTTTATGGAAGATTGGCATAAGTAAAGGGTAAGATTGATTATATTGCGCAATCATAAAAGAGTACTTACAGCCCATTCATGACCTTTATGCAATCATAGAAGAACCACTGCAAAGTGACTACTGGTCCTACTAGTATTATCCTTATGGAAAGGCTTCTTGTGAATAAGTTTGCAAGTCCAATTTTCTTTACAGCCTGCAAATCAGGGGAAAGAATTCACTTGTTTAAATCAAAGTGCTATGTGTGCGATTTAAGCTCTGAAGGAGAAGTGCGTCTCACCAATCTAATGGTGTCGGCCTTCTTGTTGTACATCGAAGTAACAATGTTATCAGCTGGATTTGATACAAGACTACCAACTGCTCCAGCCGTATATCCTGCTATACATGTTATACTGAGCTGCCTAGCTTTGGAACAATCTTCTTTTTTCTTATTGAGAACATTAGAATATAAAAAATCCACAGTATGCTCAAATGTCGAGAACATCACCATAGAGACTGCAGGAAAAAATTGAAATCAACTCAGACAAACTGGATTAGATTTAAATTTTAAAGTAAAGTTATTCGTATATATATATATCAGAAACCAGGGCACGAATACAAAATTAGGAAGAAGAGGAAAGTAAATAACAAAACTTGCACATGACCAATTTGCCGTATACATCATCAACTTAAACTCCCTTTGTCTGGAAAAAGATGTTTCATTGTCCTACAATCTTAAATTTAATGTTTTTATTAATCCCCTGACCAATTTCCCATGTATGGCCTTCTGAAAACATCGCCCCTCATCCTACGTGCTCCCTTCCTCAGCATGTCCATCCCACCTCTATTTTCTCTCTTAAATCAGAACTAAATCAGCTAAACAGTTGAGTTCTCATAATCGATAACATAACTGTCTTCTGCTACAACCTACAATACAAGTTTCTGCAGCATGTACACATTGAAATCCACTACTCTGCTTGAAACCATTCACAACTTTTGCTAACTGACAGTAGACTTGAAAAATTAATTGGATGGTCAGCTAGTTTGATCCACTTTTCATAAGCACTAATAGGCAAGTTCAGAAGAAGGTTTTGAAGGGGAACTAGCTCGATAATCATCCAACCCAGATTCACCAAGTAGGAGAGACAAAAGTTGAGTATCTTTAGAAATAGGGGCAAAATCTTGAGATTGTAGTGATAACTGATTATTATTATGGAAATTTGACGATTTTTTTCTGAACATTCCAAAATAGCACAATTGACAGTAAATCCAGATCACGGGTGTACATTACTATCCAGTGTCAAAGTCTACATTAGCTGATTTCTAGATATCCTGGTTATTATATGAATGATCCTTACAAGATATACCCCTAATTCCCTATGTTACAAATGACCAGTATACCAATGTCTAATAGAAAAGCAGAATTTACATGGAAGGTTTCGACCCCAAAGTGGAACAAGCCCTCTGTAAAAACTGCAAATTGAAATGAAAAACAACAACAATCAATAGACAAGCAATTCACAAAACAATTACCATGTAGTAACAGCGGTGGTTAGATTATTACCCATAGACGCCCTCTGATGCATACAGCTTGGGGAATCCATCACGCAACCCTTTGCCAAAAGTAGGCTGTGCTTGCACCTGGACCTTGATGGCTTCAAAAGGACAAAGCACAACGTTGGCAATCACCTCAGCAGAAGCACTACTAGCAAAGAAAACCAGACTCCTGTTGCTATCTGCGAGCACATTTGAATACAGCTTCTTGAAGTACTCATATAGACCAAACCTACAACCACCTTGCATCCCATAACCAATACATTTGGTAGCCCACCCTCTCCAAAGCACAGAAGGCCCTTGTTCTCTTAGCAAAGTAGTTAGACATGAGGTAATGCTATAGTACTTGACAGGGTTCACCTATGAACAAAAAGTTTCCAATCAGATTATTTAGATATCTGCTTGAGTGCTTGATTAGTTTCAACTAATCTACAGTAACAGAAACCTGACTCAAACTCGAGCAGAATGACTCATCACCTAAATATGACCCGATATGAATTGAGTCAAACTGAACCTAATCGAACCACGCATTCGGCGCTTCCAAATCTCTAACTATAAGAACGAACAAGAACACACCAAACTTCCCTAAACCCTAGATAGAAGTACCACATACACACATACAAGGGTCAATGGAGGTTCAAATTGACAAATAAACCAACAAGAATTTACAGAAAGATTCAACCTTTATTGCTAGAAGAAGGTATACTCTTTAAGGCTTTATTTCCCCATCAAATTAAAACATAAACAAAATGAAATCCAAGGATCAAATGTCGCAATAATAAACAAGAGAAAACCAGAAAATTAAATCAAGGAGATACCCTAAATCATATATAATCACAATTGAAAAATTGAATTGAAAGATAAAAAGGGGGTTAAGAGAAGGAACCTGCATATTGACTTTGAGAACATCAAGAGGGGTGACGATGACGTGGGTGGTTCCGGCGCTCAATACTCCTCCTACTGTGCATAGCCCAATGTACCCACTTCTTCCTCCTTTTTCTTCTTTCATTTTCATTACTTTTTTATGGTTTCCTTACCACCATTTCTGGGGTTTTAAGCCATCTCAAGAAACCTACTCCGGTGCCGGCTGGCTAGCCTCCAATGTTTCTTCACTTTGTAAAATGTTCTTATACCATAATGATCGGAGAAGAATTTCGTATTCTATTCACCTGATTTTCATTTATTTTAGAAACTTAACTTTTTTTTTTAATAGTATTTAAATTTAATTAAAACTTTATTTTAGTGGTAATTTGAAGTAATTCATATTGGAACATATTTTTCTTGAAATGAATTTATTTTATACTTATTTTTCTTAAAGTGAACTTATCTGATGTGAAATAAGTGAAAATAAAGTAAATAGAACAATACTTAAGCTGAATAAAAATTAACTTTAATTGAAAATTTAAAATTGATCTAAATTGAACCTAAGTACCTGAAGAGATGAAATTTGAAAGTAATTTGTTTCCCACAATGAGTTAATTGACCCGACCCTAATACACTCATATTGAAACTCTTCTTACCAACATACGATGTTCCTGATCAAATATACCCATGTTAAAAGAATTCTTACTCGATCTAATTTGTCTTTTACCCCAATCACATAATATACCCTTTAAAGTTTGTTATCTTCACCTAAATTAAGGTGTTTTAATTTGATTTTAATAAGGTCTAATTTGGTCAAATCTAAATTTTTTTTAGTCTGAAATGGTCTGATATATTAAATGTGAGTGCATTTTTACAAAAAATTTAAGTAAAAAATTATCAAATTGAATACTATGTTGAGTGCAGAAATTTCATCACCAATGTATCATTCAAAAATCCTAATTAGCTCATTTTGGAGTACTATGGATGCAAAATCCCTTTCATGTTTGAGGGCTAATTACTTCCTAATTTTCCGAAGTAAATACGCTTTAGACATTTCAAAATCTGACCAATGTGCTGTAATTCAACTTCAAGTTACCAAAATGCAAATCAATTAAAGAGCCAATTTGCTAAAATACTTAATTAGTACTTAATATTCAAGTTGTTCACTTAAAATACATGCATTACATGTCAAGATAATTACTTCATAATTAACTAAAATTATTTAAAGCTAACCTTAGGATACTTGACTACTAGCCAATTACATACTTACATATACGCCCTAATTAGTTTTAGACAAAGGGCATACAACTTGCTTAGCTTAAGGAACCTAATTAAATAAATATGTCATTATAATCAGAAATTATCTCATCATAATCAGCAAATAAATTATCATAATCCAAATCATCCAAACTATCCTCCACAACAATTTGTGAGTTGATGTTATTGATGCTATTCAAAGCTGTTGCTGGATCAGCATTCGACGAATCATGTTGTCCAACAACAACATCATCCTGCTTGTTATTGTTATTACGGTTGTCACTTTGAGGGATACGTTGAATGACCGAATGGCGAGTAGGTTGCCTTGGAGCAGTTTCGACGATGGAGGAGTTCACGATACGAATGTCGTGGATGCTGGAACGACGTTTTTCGACAGGGGTGCGACACTTGAGACGCCTGTAGTACTTCTGCCCATGGCTAGCTACTTGGGATGCTGTCTTAGTTGGTACGTAGATTTCTGCTATGCTCTTCCATTCTCCTTTTCCAAACATGTCTAGCCCTTCCAAAAATGCCCTGTGTATAGTAGGATTCAAACATCGATTTTTTAAATAAGGAAAGGTAAACAAAAGTTAGGAAAATCTTCTCTTAATACTGAAACCTAACATATATAATAGAATTTAAACATCATACGAGTAACATTTTAAAGTACAACTGTACAAAATCATATTTATAAGTAAAGCTAGACGACAAATTTAATACGATGTATTAGAGATTCAGGGTATGAAATAAATGAAAAGGCTAAAATTGTTAACTAAAATCTTTATTAATTCATTCTATAATTGCAAACCGATATACGACAACCGTACGGCCTAACGGTGATGAGTGACACCTAAAACATTTGATTATTGGTCGGTAATTATGTTCTAAGATGTATCTAAAAGTAAAGCTAAACGACAAATTAAATTTAATACGACATAGAAGAGATTTAGGGCATGCAATAAATTGAAGGGTCTCACCTGAAATCTTTTATTCTATAACTAGGCAAAATACCTTACATGTACTATTTTTTATTCTAAAATTGCATAAAAGTACACGACAATCGTACGGTCTGATTGTGTGACATCTTAAGTTTTTGATTGGTCAATATAACTCAAAATCTAATTTTATTCTCTTATTTTCTTACCTAGTTAATAATGAACAAATTCGTATCTAAAAGTAAAGCTAGACGACAAATTTAATATGATATAATAATAGAGATTTAGGGCATGGAATAAATTATTATGACTGCATTAGGGCACAAATAAAAGATCCGATAAGTTACTTACCTATGCTCTTTTTTTGTCCATGGTGCACCCCTGCATGGCTTGCGATCAACCTTAGCTCCGTTATCATCTCCACCAAAGCCACCAGTTTCATCCTGCTCAATCATCGCGGTATCTGCAACGAGTTTTCCATAGTGGCTCTTGATTTGTTCAAGAGATTTCCATGGCATTATAGCCATGATTTTTTCATAAAAATCAGGAGAGGTAACATCTAGCTCAGCTAAAGCATTCTCAAACATCTTGTTTTCAAAACATGTCCACTCTTGATTATTATCACTACATTCACTATTATTATTATTAGAATCGGAAGGATTCATTTTTTGTTTCCTAGAAAATGTTACTTTGTAACTTTGATAGAGATTTAAATGACCAAGCTTGCTTCTTACAACAAACATTCTTATTGTCATTTATAATGTAAAAAGAGTATCAGAAAGGATCCTCAATTTCATTACATTTAATTCAATTTCGGCATTATTATCAATAACATTAAGTGAATGAAATCTAGTTTGTGACATATGTCGAATTAAAGCCATAAAAAAAGAGGTGAAACACAAAATGAAACAATAAAATATAGATAAAGTCGAAATAGGATTCGTCATTTTGTATATTATGGACTTAAATAGGAAATAAATTGTGCTCGAAATGTACGCGATTTGATATCCATTTGGGTTGCCTTGGATTAAATATAACGTGAATGTTTCATCGGATATTTAGGTTGTTACATTGTGTGTACTATTACTGATGATATACATGTGGCACCTTTGAGAAACCTCTTTAGAACCTTTATATTTTCTTAATAACAAAGATTAGACATTTAGACACTTCATTCTTTATTGTCTTGTTGCATACAAAATATTACTTCTATGTTTGCAAAAGTTGTTACTAAGAGTATTACGTTTCCTTTAGTCATGCAAGCTTATGTGATTCAATTATACTGAGTACAAAATAAAGATACTACATGTCGCGTTGCGTATTGTGTATTTGTGTGTATATATTAATATATATTTTGGCTTAGATTTTGTACAATTTTAATCGATAGATCTTTTTAATAAGTTAAAATTACACACAAGTATGTGCGCTTTTGTAGATAAATGAGAGTAATGATACAATTAACGAGCGATTGTATGGATAATTTGTACCTAAATTATTCTAATGTTTTTTTCCCATTAATAAAGTGTATTTTTAATTAATAATTTGTATTAACATTAGGATTGATCAGATGTATATACATAACCATTATGCATCGATTGGGATGAATTCAATTCCATATATTCAATGATAGACACAATAATTGAAGTCTAATTGAAAAACGAACTCATAATATTATATCATTGCAAAATTTGCAATACATTCAAATAGCGAATAAGATTAATTAAGTTGTGAGAAACTAATTAAGGATAATTATACATTTCATGATGAAATGCACATGTTTTGCATGCTTAATACTTATATTATATATTATTCATGGAGGGGTAAACTATATAGAGATTTCCAACTTTGTCTTCAATTTTGTTTTTGGTTAACATTCTTTTGAAGCTTCTTGAAATACTTTTGGGCATGGCTACCAACTTGTTTGGGACTTTTGGATGGAATACAACACCTTGAAATAGAAGCCCAATTCCCCTTTCCATACTTCTCTAAACCTTGTAGGAAACTCCTGCGTTGACATTATTGATTTTCTTCATTAGTGTAAAATAAGGAAAAATAAATTAATTAATTACTATAATATGATTTACAATCTCTTATTTATTTGGGTGTACCAACTTGAGTTAATATAACTAAAATTAAGTTTCAATCCGTATAGTAAATCATTACTCCGTAGTAATTATTATATTACTTTAAATTGGTAACTATATAGCGTATGACAAAAAAATCACTAATAACTATTTTATTTTATTTTTTACTATTTTTTGAAAAAGTAATAACAATTTTAATTGGTCACTAGTAAAAGTGTAAAGCTACTGTAATTTAGTAAAATCGTTTTTAAAATATTAGTTAGCTAAAATAAGGTGAAGAAAACATGACAGAAAACTAATTCAATCAGTAAAACACTCACTCATGTTCATCTTCAGTCCAACGAACACCGCCGCCCTTCCTTTTCTGCCCCGGTACAACTCCTTGGCATGGCGGCGGCGGTGCACCATGGGACATCGACGATGATGAGGAATCATCACCATAGATATCATCAAGCTCTTCATCTAAAAGACCTGCTTCAATCATCATAACATCATGCATCAATTCATCAATATGTGTTTGGATTTCCTCAATTGTCTTTCCTGGCATTCTTAAGGCAATCTCTTGAACCAAATTTTGGCTCTCAAGACCCAATTCTGCTATGGCATTTTCAAATACCTTATCCTCTTCAAAACTCCAACCCATTACTTTTTTAATTAGTTTTGTTTTATTTTGTGTTTTTTAATTACTTTTTATACACTAATTAACCTCATTACTTATATATATAATTGAATAAATCATGTATATGATTATATGAATAAGAATAGAAGATCCAATTGGATGATGCAATAAAATTTTTATGCAAAATCTCCAAAGCTTTGATATCTTTGATGAATTATTACCAGAAATGTACATACAAAATGACAATTGGTGAAAATCTTCATTGCCAAAATCTTTTTTTTTTTTTTTTTTTTTTTTTTTTTTTTTTTTTTTGTTGGGTTGATTTCGTTATCAAACTCGGATATGATTTTTTTTCTTTATATTCATATCTTCCATATCCTTTAATATTCTTTCATATATTCCCATATGCTTCACAATCTACTTAATGTATTTGCAAAATCAAGAAAAAAGTGAATGTAAGGAAGTATATCAAAATGAAATAGAGGGAGCATTTTGATTTGAATCCATTTTGATTTAAAAAACTAATTGTAAAAATCATGAAATTGAAAATAATAATCATGAATCACGCACAGATGTAATTTATTAAATCATCTAATTCATTCCTTCACTTGAATAAAAATATCTCTATTATACGAAGTATAGGAATATAACCTAGTAGCTAAGCAAAAAAGATATATGAGAGTATGTAAGCTTTGAAGCTCATCAGTTGGTTAGAGCTTCCCTTTAAGTTTCTGTTATACCACGAAATCTGAATGAATTATTTATATTGATAATGCTTTAAGCATTTAAAAAAACTTTTGAAATTCAAGCATGTATATTTAATTTATTATGTTGGAACATATTAAAAAATTCTATAATCTATACTAATCTATTAAAATGCGTTACTAACAATGTCTTTGTGCCACGTAAACCACGACACGTCACTTACTCCATCTCTCATTATACCACATCATCACTATTCAATCAACCTAAATCATTATGCCACGTCACCTAATTCGAACAACCAACCTCTTATAAGAAAGATGGTTATTTTACCATCTAATCCAACTATCAACTATGTTACAAACATGAAAAAAAAATCACAAGGTTTAAAAAAAAAAAACATTAGAAATATCAAATACATATAATTACAAGAATAATTTAAGTAATAACCCGCTGCAACGCTCGGGCTACACACTAGTATTTCTATTACAAAGTGGAAATGTAATGGTTGAAGCATGAAATACATTGTTCCATTATTTATAGAAGCAAAGATAAAAAAAAAAATCCCATTAGTATTAATTATTACAATAGATAAAAAAATCCCATTAGTATTAATTATTACTTCGTATCATACAATAAAATAAAAAGTGAAATTGAATTTGCTTATAATCGCATGTAAGTCAAAGAATGTCAACTAAAAACAAACAAAGGACTGAGTACTATTCTTTTGCATGTATATTTCCCCTCTATTTTAATCTTACAACTTTAACTTCTACAATTTTCAATTCACACATATACACTGTATTACATATAATAAAACTTGTTCTTCTTATCATCATGATTAACAATTTGTTTGTGTTCTTCATATATAACACGGTTCACTATACACTTGGGTTTATGACCTAATTTGTGGGCTTCCCTTATTACTTGACAAGCATGTTTATCTAACTACGAAAAGGACTACATACTGTCCAATTCTCACCTATACATCACATGAAAATTCCTTATTAGTTTATCTAACTCACATGAAATACGGTATTGTAAGAGATGCACTGAGTATAATTATAAGGATGTCTTCTGAATAGTAGGAGTATTCAATGATAAAGCATATGCAAAAAGGTGCTCCATATAATGAGTAGGGGCAACTTCTATCAAGTCATCAACATGTGATAAGAAAAGGAGAATGAAAAAAGATGGGTCAAGTGAGTCAAGTCATGAGTCTTAGGCTATACTATCAATTAATTGAGGAAAGTTAGATATCTTTTCCAATAACATATTTAATCATGTCAAAGTTTGATTAAAGCTTCATCTTCTAGAATCATATATACCCTCCTTGGGATTCATCAGTTAAGAAAAATGGAGTATATGGAATATTTAACTGTGTTTTCCTCTATTGCGAGACTACAGTAAGTATCAACACATTAGGTTAAGACATAATTCTTGACTATAATCCTTATTATTATTATAAATAAAAATGCAAAACTAAATACTGTAGCTTATGAATAGTAACTTATGGTGCTATTACATAGTTGCCCTTACAATTAATGAATTGCCCAAATTGCCCTTGCTTAATCAATTACATTATGCGTGATAGCTGTAATTGAGAGTGGGCCCCGTGCTTCTACACCGACTTCCCTCTCTCAACAGCTCTCTGTTTTCATCTCAAAAGGAAAAGGGTCAAAGCATTTATTTTAGGGGAAACATGGAGAGAGAAAACTTCAGCAACTCAAGACCACCGATCGACGATGGGGCTTCGATTCTTCTCGGCGTCTGAGGTTGTGGAAAATGAGTTTCCGATCGTCACATTAATCAGGTTCGATCTTGTTTCTCTCTCTTGATTTAGTTTCAAATTTTTGGGTTTGATTGTCGTGGATTTTTGCATATATGTTCATGTTGTTTTCGATATGTTCAATGTGTATTCGAATTTTTTGGGTTGAATCTTTGTGGGTGTAATTGTGCGAAATCGCTTCATTTTTATTGGGGTTTATTTGATCGATTTATTTTCGATTTTTTGGCTTTATTTGTTTGATTTGTTTCCGATAATTTTGGGGTTTATTTGATCGATTTGCTTTCGATTTGTTGTCTTTATTTGTTCGATTGGTTTTCGATTATTTAGGGGTTTAGTTGATCGATTTGGTTTTGGTCTTTGGTTTTCGTATTTGGGTTGAATTTGAGTGAGTTATCGTTCTTTTGGGTTGAATTGTCTGTTTTGTAGATGAATTGTTGATCTCTAGGTACAATTCTCTTTCTCCTTTCTCTTCTGAGCTTTCTCCAACCCTCCATTGAAACTCCTGGACTTTCCTCTCCATTGAAAAAGCTTGAGAGGTTATTTGATGATTCTCTGATCTCAGGGTTTGATTCTCTCTTCTCCCACTCTCGTGTTCTAATTGTTTAAATGTTCAACTCTTTGATTAAATTTTTCCTTTTATTTGAATGTTGACTGATTTAGCTTCCTTTCCTGCGAAAAATTTGGAGTACGTTGTGTGTTTTCCTAATAAAATGTGGGAAAGTTTTGCATTTTATTTGTTTTTAGTATAAATTTGTCAAGTAAACGCAGAAATTAAATAGATTTTTGTGGTTAATATTCAAATTGTGGTGATAAATTTGTGTTTTGTGTAACAAATTGTTTGGATTATGGCTTACACATGTAATTTTAATGATGCATTGGTTTGGGATGTGTAATCTACAATTGATATGAAATGGAGGAGCTGATTTGGTTTTAGTGTTTTCGGATGCTTAATTATAGGCTATATGATCTGAGTAATTGGTTTTGGTTTTAATGGATGATTGATTGGTACTTTTGTTAAGCAGAAATGGGTGAGGAGGCTACTAAAGTTGTTGTATCGGAGTCGGTTTTGAAAAAGCAGAAGAGGGAGGAAGCATGGGCTTTGGCCAAGGAGGATCAGGATGGTCAGAAGAAGAAGAGAGTTGAAATCAGGAAGCTGATCTTTAAGAGGGCTGAGCGGTACGCTAAGGAATACGCAAACAAGGTCTGAGTTTGTTTTTTTGTGGCGTCTGTTCTTGGTGTAAGGTTATTTAATTAAGTTTCTTATTAGACTTGTTTATTGTTAATCAGGAGAGGGAATTGCTCTGTCTCAAAAGGGAGACTTGTTTATTGTATGCTTATTTGTTTGTTGTTTTTCATCTAATTTCTGTTGAATGGAACATTGGAACTGTACTAAATCCATTTGTGCCATCTGTGCTGAAGGAAACTTTAATTTAGGTGAAAAACAAGTCCTACCTCGGGTCTTGCTTTTGTCATTCTATTGGTCATTATATTGTATATACTAATTATTTGCCGGCCTCTTGTTGAGTGCTTGCAGTGACATCTCATTCTGGCATGGTGGAGAACTATGAGGAACACAGTGGTGATGTATATGATGATTGTTTGATCAAATTGGTTAGTTTTACATCTATATATACTTTAATCGTGTCAGCATAATTTTGTATCATATATTGAACTATTATATGCTTGTTTTGCTTCAGAGGGTTAATCCTAAAAGAAGACGGGATAAAGTTTATGTTGGTTGTGGAGCTGGCTTTAGTGGTGACAGGCCAATGGCAGCTTTTAAGTTGCTTCAAAGTGTGAACGAGCTTAACTATATTGTACTTGAGTGTCTTGCTGAGCGCACTCTAGCTGACCGGTACAAGGCGATGATATATGGGGGAGATGGTTATGACCCACGCAGTATGTTTGCCACATTTTTTGGCTACTTGCCATTCGCTTTTATTAGATTTGTCAATCTGCTTTATAAGTCTTGGTTTTCTTTGACCTCCCTCTCTTATTTAAGAAGGGAGTAGAATGTGCTACCAAAATTAGTTTTTTGTGTATGGATTAGTTTCTACTCCATTAATTCTGTCTTTTACATACATGCAGTTTCGGAGTGGATGCACTTGCTTTTACCTCTGGCTGTGGAAAGGGGAACATGCAGAATTACAAATATGGGTGCAAGTGAGAGCTTTATTTGTTTGGTTTGTGTAGTGTACTTGAGATCATGAATCTAAGTATTTTTCCATTCATTTTTTCTGATTCCTTCTATACAAAAGTGGATCCAATTGGTGCTCAGATAAAGGTGCTTGAAATTGCAAACAGCCTGGGGCTTAGTATAACAGTTGTTGTTGCACATGAAGTTGCCTTCAAAGATCTAGGTAATACTTGTTTGAATGTTAGGGATTTTTTTTTTGTACTAAAGTAACTAGTGAAAGGTAAACTTGATATCGGTATAACTTACTAAGTCCCTTCTATTGTATTTTCTTTCTCTAAAATTCAGGGTCAGCATCCTCACATAATATGTCTTTTGTCATGGATGGTGTAAGAAACTGAAAGCCTTGCAGTATTATCTTAGAGTTGGTATTTTCATTTTAATTGGAAAAAAGTTGTCTCTTTGGTACATATTGGCTTATTCTATATTCCTTGTCATTGAAGGGTATTAGCACATATCTAGGTGCGGCACCAATTGTCAGGTGTCTTGAGTTATACAAGCAATATGTCATCATTGTATGTACAGATATCAATATATCATGAGATTCTTATTTTCCAACATTTCATCTATGCTTGGCGCATATATGTGCTCTACATTATTAGAATATATACACGCCCAACATTTCAATAATTATTGTCTTGCATATCATTAAATGAATTAGTGTTATTACAATTTCTATTGTTAAAACCGTGGTTGATGTAAGATCAACAATATTTACATACAGAGATTAGAGGAATATTAAAAGGGGAGATTCTAGACAAAGACGGAGGAAACCATCCTTATAGAAGGAAGATATACAAGAAATCATCTTTAATGTAATTGTGGAATATATAAATAAAACTTTTTAAATTTTGATAAGTCATAAATATTGTACAATTCTTCTACATATAGAGAAGAGGATTTGACATTAAAAAGCAGATGTTGACTAAAATTTGTAAAACCATCAAAGTATTTTGCAAGGATAATTTTTTTTAACTTAGATATTCTCAAATTTGCAAACCTTACATTTGTAAAATTTGGAGTATTTCCAATATTGGTGAACGTGGTTAGTATCTCTTCTATATACTAGAAATTTATTTTCCAATACTTGGAATAATTATTGTAGCTAGGAAATTGTTTAACTTAAATACTTTTTTGGGGTTACATGACAGAGAGAGAGAGCTTAAAGCTATGAATCCACTAAAAAAGAGCAAGGAGAAGGAGAGTTTTGAGAAATAAAGAAAAGGGCTAGGAGAGATAGAGTAGAGTCAAGAGAGGAAAAGAGACTGGAGGGAGAACGAGATATATAGATAGATAGAGAAGGCAATGTTGAGAGGAAATGTTAGCTAATTTGTAGCACTAATTTGTATCACTTTCCATAGTTATTTCCCCATAAAAACTTTATCACTAATCCTAACTTGTTAATACTACAAATTCATGTGTATCATTGCTATTATACAACTCGAACACACCACGAATATCACAATAGCCGAACACAATTACGAATATCACAATAACCGAACACAACCACGAATTTCACTTATCTACCGTTGGGGGAGCACGCGCATCGCGCGTGCTCCAACGACTAGTTATCAATAAGTATAGATTGTAAAAAGTATATTGAGCCGATCTGACATGCATCTGCATGACTTCATTAAATTGTAATTTTATGCATAAAAACCAACATTGGCCAAAGAGAACAAAGGGGATACCAAAAGATTGACCCTTATGGTAAAAGTACTCTATGTTTTAATTAGTAAATTTTTCTTAGATGTAACCCTATTTGCTCTATATCTTTCTCCTCATCGTACATAATACTCACCCACATATACAATTTATCAATTTTACATTCACTCCGTACATCTTTAAAAAAAATACGCAGTAAAAAGTAAAGTAAAATTTTGAAGCAATATTTAAAAAACGGACAGAACACAACCAACCCTATGTTTAATCATTGTAAAGTTAACTAACTCTAATAATAAAAAAATCATCCTAGGAGAAACAGAGCACTGAAAAATGCACGTTCTTCGCCTCTAAAACCTTGTCTGTCTTACATCTGGCGGGAATATACCCTGTTGAAGAACTGGTAATTCGACCCCAATTCTCACCTTTTTCACTTTCTGTCTTTTTTTCATGTCAATTAATTACTGTTTGTAGTTTTTACTAAGATTCTTGAGAAGATTCTTTTGTGGGGATGATATTTTTTTAGTTTTAATTCCAGCTATCACCAAGCTAAAAGCCAATCTATGATATCAATAATGGCGGTCTTCATAATCTTCTCCTGCATCTGAAATCACAAATCTTGGCTTTCTATATTCAATCTTTTTTATTTTATTTTAGGTTTATGATTATAATTAAGGGTCGGTGCAAAATTTTTGTATAAATTTGAAATTATATCTTTTGGCAATAGTAAAGATTCCGCTTTATTTCCTGTATTTTTTGAGGGGGCTGATTTGCCCATTGCAAAAAAGGTACCTTTTTTTTTCCTTCTTCTGAATTTTAGATCTTTTTGATGGGCTTTTAGATCTATTAATATTGCTATTATTGCAATGTGTTTAGGTATATGTGTAATTCTGAATTCTGGTATTATCCCACTAAAAAAGTTTTGAACTTAGTATAAATTTGCTATAATGTATGAAATTTGATTTGGAATTATGAAATTTTGTAATGGGAGGAAGATTTAGGTATTTTTCTTGAATTCGATGTTGAATTAAGGTTAAATATTGTGGTAGTTCATTGAAAGATTTGATCTTTGATTTTGAAAGTAAGATTTAGCAGTGTTTAATCATGATTTTGATGTGAAATAATGATTCAGGTTATAGGGTGCAATTTATAGCAAGCAAGATGAGAGGAGCAGTATTTGCAGCATTAGCTGCTACAATGGGCAACTTGTTGCAAGGGTGGGACAATGCAACTATTGCAGGTAAATCAAATTCTACTCTTTTTAGTTCTTTTGCTGATTTGAATGACAATTGAGAAGAATAGTTTGTTGGGTGTTTATATGATTTATCATAGTATTAGATTTCGAAATTGGAATAAAGTAATCCTAGAATTTTGAGAGTTGAGATTATGCTTGATGCTAATGTAGGGGCTCTAATATACATCAAGAGGGAATTCAACCTTGAAACACAACCAACATTGGAGGGGCTTATTGTGGCCATGTCTCTTATTGGAGCCACAGTTATCACGACGTTCTCAGGTCCCGTTTCAGATTCAGTTGGGCGCCGGCCTATGCTGATAGTCTCATCATTGTTGTACTGTCTTGGTGGTGTTGTTATGCTATGGTCTCCCAATGTATATGTCTTGCTCTTGGGTAGGCTGTTGGATGGATTTGGAGTTGGTTTAGCAGTTACTCTTGTGCCAGTCTATATATCAGAAACTGCACCCCCGGAGATCAGAGGACAGTTGAATACCCTCCCACAGTTCACTGGTTCAGGAGGGATGTTCTTGTCTTACTGTATGGTATTTGGCATGTCTTTGATGGATGCACCGAGTTGGAGATTGATGCTCGGTGTATTATCAATTCCATCCCTTTTGTACTTTATCTTGACGGTATTTTACTTGCCTGAGTCTCCTAGGTGGTTAGTCAGCAAAGGGAAGATGAATGAGGCTAAGAAAGTCTTACAAAAATTACGCGGCAGAGAAGATGTCACTGGTTAGTATTCTGTTTTTTCCCTAAGTCAGTTATTAAACAATGCTGACAGTAGCATCCCTTATTCTGTGATCTGAAGAGTTCATATTTTGTAAGGTTTTTATGGAGTTTCTTGATAGGAGGTGCTCATTGATTTATAATTAATATATGTGGGCTTTGTTGCTACCATAGTCCCTGCCATTCTGTTGCTGGCACATAGTGAAGCAATAGTGTACTTTGCTTAGTAGCGCTGAGTGTCAACTACTAGTCAAATCTATTGTTTTGTTGAATAATTAACATGATGTGGGAGAAGAAACAGAAAAGGCCGAGTGTATACGATTTGAGAGAGCATATATATAGTGTAATTACCAGATACTACAAATTCATTGTGGCCATCAACTCAACATAAACGTGAGAAATTCTCTAGTGAATTTTACGTGATCTATAGACCTTTAATGCTAGTACAGTTGTACAGGGACATATAGTGTTTTATGCTCGCATCATTTGTTAACATTCAATGTTTTTTGTTCGTGGTTGTATAAAAAATTAAGAATACACACTGATGCTTTTTTGTCCAACTGATTACTTAATATTAATTTTGTACTATTCAATCATCTTGTAGGTGAGTTGGCACTGCTTATAGAAGGACTTGGAACTGGAGTTGATACTTCCATTGAAGAGTATGTGATGGGCCCAGCAAATGATGAGGAAGCCACCACAGATAAGGATCAAATCAAACTATACGGTGCTGAGCATGGCCAATCTTGGATTGCCAAACCAGTCACAGGACAAAGCACGCTTGGCATGGTTTCTCGTTATGGAAGCATGGCCAACCAGGGAAGTATGGCTAACATGATGGATCCTCTCGTCACTTTGTTTGGAAGTGTACACGAGAAGCTGCCCCAGACAGGAAGCATGAGGAGTGCAATATTCCCAAACTTTGGGAGCATGTTCAATACTGCTGCTGATGATAATGGTAGAGATGAAAATTGGGAGGTTGAGAGCCGAGGTGAGGATACATCTTCTGATGTTGGCCATGATGACTCTGATGATAATCTGAGGAGTCCATTGCTTTCACCTCATGCCTCTGGTGTTGCTCCTCCATCAAATGGCAGCATGCTGATGCAAAGTGGTGAACTAGTCAACAGTACAGGTATCAATTCAAATGATAATAATTCTTACATTAACAGTACTGTGATGTAATTTTGGTTTTTACTGCATTCTTTGAAAAAATTGTTCTTTCCACTCTTAGAGATCTTTTTGAAAAAGATGTTGATAATGGCTATGTAACCATCATGCAATTCTACCCTCTCCTGATATATCTGAATTCTCGGGCTTGGAGGGAATTGAGGAAAGCTTCTCATACTATTACCTTAACTAAATAATTGTCTGATAGATTTTAAGGGAAATGTGAGGTTAAAATTATGTGACCTTCTACCTAAATCCTGCAAAGAGAGGAGAGACTTGGAGGGTATTGCGCCTTTCTTTTCTGACTGAAATTTTTTCTTTTCTATTCCTTTTATGGTGCTTCCTGTTACTATTTATATGAGTTATATCCAACCTAATGTTTACATTCTTCCTTGACAGGTATCGGTGGAGGTTGGCAGCTTGCATACAAGAAAGCACAAGATGGAACAGGCGAATGGAAAAGGGTTTATCTTCACCAAGAAGCTGGCATGGGGTCTATGCGTGGGTCCATGCGTGGATCTATGCGTGGATCAGTCGTTTCACTACCTCCATCTGATCTTCTTGATGGTCAGCTTATCCAGGCTGCTGGTCTTGTGAGTCAGTCTACCCTCAACATCAAAGATTTCAAGGGAGAGTCTCCCCTTGAGGATGGTAATGTACAGCCTTCAGCAGCTGCTACTAAAGGGCAGAGCTGGAGGGAGCTTCTCGAACCAGGAGTTAAGCGAGCATTGATTGTTGGTATGGGAATGCAGATACTTCAGCAGGTAAACAGAGTTTTTTGAAGTTTAGGATTTGAATTTACAGTTGTTAAAACTGAAAACAACTCAGAAACTCGATTCTTTTTTATCCAGGATTCGAATTTTCTGATCAGTCTGTTTCTTGGTAGTTATTATTTTACTTCCAAGGCTGTTTCATCTCCCCCCTACCCCATTCTGTTTCATCTTCAGTTATCATATTTTCCTGCATAGTTAAAGGGAATGTAGGCAGTAGGCTTGACTATTTCCTCGTACTCCTGCTTATGTAATTTGTCTGACATAAATTTTGTTTTGTTTTTGTTCTGAATTCAGTTCTCTGGGATCAATGGAGTTCTCTACTACACCCCTCAGATTCTCTCACAAGCAGGAGTGGATGTTCTCCTATCAAGATTGGGGATTGGTTCAGACTCCGCTTCCCTCCTGATTAGTGGGTTGACAACATTGTTGATGCTTCCTAGCATAGGCCTTGCTATGAGGTTGATGGATATCTCTGGAAGAAGGTAACAAACTCGCACAATTGCATCATCACCACTTCATGATTTTAACACCTTCATTACTCTATTCTGCTGTAATATAAACATGTTTTTTCACCATGCAGGTTTCTTCTGTTAAATACACTCCCCGTCTTGATTGGATCACTGATTGTTCTAGTTCTTTCCAATGTTATCGAAATGGGAACTGTCTTACACGCAACATTATCTACTATTAGTGTCGTTGTCTACTTCTGCTGCTTTGTCATGGGATTTGGTCCAATCCCCAACATCCTGTGCTCCGAAATCTTCCCTACTAGAGTCCGTGGGATTTGCATTGCCATATGCTCTCTTACCTTTTGGTTTGGAGACATCATTGTCACATACTCTCTCCCTGGTTTGCTCTCCTCTATAGGCCTTGCAGGAGTCTTTGGCATCTATGCCATAGTTTGCACCATTTCTTGGTTCTTTGTTTACATGAAGGTACCCGAAACAAAGGGCATGCCCCTAGAAGTCATCAGCGAGTTCTTCAACGTGGGAGCAAGGCAAGCTGAAGCTGAGAAAGATATGTGAGTTTTGTAATATTCAGAGTTTTGATTTGCTCATTGCTTCAGGCCCTCGAAGTAGATGCCTGAAAGAAGTCAGTAATGACGAGTCTGATCAACCGTGAAAAATGGAGAAGAAAGGAGAACCTAACATTTTTTGCAATACAAACTTGATGCTGTTGCATCAGTCAAAGAAAAAGGTTACTGTGGGTGATTACACTACTCCAGTCACCCCTTCTCCTAAAAACAATAGTTCTCGGCGATTGGATTTGCAGTTTTGTTCTGTTTATTGATAGTGTAATGTGTAATTTCTATCATTAGTTTATTTGATTGTCTAATTTATTTCTCTTTATCCATTAACATTGTTACCTGGTTACAATATGGAGAAATGGTTAGCTTTTACTTTAACCTTTTGAATCCTAGGACCATGTTAGTTTCTTGAAACACCTCACATAAATCAAGAAGGAAGAGGTTACTTTGAATGTTCAAAGACATGAAGTTTCCTTTACTTTTCAGTTTACACTCATCAGCTTTGACCTATCCTTTGCCTTACAAAATTTCATTCATACATGGTTTTTTTTTTAGTCAGCAAAGGTACAAGTTTGTTCTTGACATCCCAAAATCTGAATCCCATTTGTGTCATTAAGTCTTACACAAATATACTTGCATGACACTATGAGAGAGAGAATAAGAGATAAAATTTCGAATTTGATTTATCTTGCTTTCACAAGAATCAAGTGTCTTGACTTGATCCACACTCACAAATAAGTTATGTTATGTTGAAAAATGAAAATAAACTCTAATAACTTTGAATTGTATTATTTGCTCATAAGTTCAAATAATAGAATTTCTTAAAAATAAAAAAAAGTTCAAATAATAGAAATATATATGGGTTAAATTATAATCATGTGAATCCAACTCTAAGCACCCAATTCCTAATACACACCAAGTAATACTTAATCTATTGGTAAAAACCATGATATCATCTCTCTAAGTACACTAGTTTGCGAGGATTTTTTACTCCTTCTCTCCCCCCCCCCCGCTTAAAGCACTACCAGGTTGGATAAACTTTTCCGAAGTTGTGATCTAATTGAAGCCTTCTTTGTTATCTACTACTCTCTTCATTCCATAATAATAATTGATAAAATTATCTTTTTTCCTCAATATCTTTAATCATGTATTAGTAAAAATACTTAATATTCTAATAATACACTATAAATTAAATTAAAATAAATCATGTCATTTTAATTATTTTTGTAAAACCGAAATTATTTTTATTAAAATTATTTTTACTAATTTTATGTTATTATGTTCTTATGGGTACCCGTTAACCCGTATAATACATTAACACAAAGCAAGATAGGGATTAGGGGGTATATGGATATCCCAAAAGTAATTGGATATGCCGCCCAAAAGTTGATAACTGTTTTTTAATCCAACCCTAAATTCTTCAATTCAATACACTCCATACACTTTCACTTCAAACAAACCAACAAACTCTCTTTCTTTCTCTCATTTCTTCTTCACTTTTCCCTCTTTTTTTCTGGGTTTTTTCAACTCAATCTCTTCGATTCACCTCCATTAATCTTCATCAATGGAAGCTCAAAATCTCCCTGAATCTTTACCCCAATCTTTAGATTCCTACCCTTCTCAACCTCCTCACCAAACCCTAGCTTCTTACCAAGAACTTAACGACCAAACCCTAACCCTAGCTCAGACTCAATCTGACCATCAAACCCTAGATTCTTCGCAGTTTCAGAATAATAACAGCAACAATCACCAGAATGGAAATGGGGTGAGTGAATCTTTGCCGAAAACCCAAAGTGGGACTACTACGGCCGACAGAGATCAATCCGGCGGCGAAGAGGAGACGACTAGCCGTAGAAAACGCCGGAGTAGGTGGGACCCGCCGCCGTCTTCGGATGATGGAGCTGCTGCTGCTGCTGCCGCCGGAGATGGTGCCGGAAGAAAGAGGAAATCGAGATGGGCGGATGACGAGCCGAAGCCTGCGTTTCAGTTGCCTGATTTCATGGGAGGTATTGAATTTGACCCTGAAGTTCAATCACTTAATAGTAGACTTCTTGAAATTAGTAGGAAATTGCAATCTGGATTGCCTTTAGATGATAGACCTGAAGGGGCTAGATCCCCGTCCCCCGAACCGGTTTACGATAACATGGGAATTAGGATTAATACTAGGGAGTATCGTGCTCGTGAGAAATTGAATAGAGAGAGACAGGAGATTATATCGCAGATTATCAAGAAAAACCCGGCTTTTAAGCCTCCGGCTGATTACCGGCCTCCTAAGCTTCATAAGAAGCTTTATATTCCTCAGAAGGAGTTTCCTGGTTATAATTTCATTGGATTGATTATTGGGCCGAGAGGGAATACTCAGAAACGGATGGAGAAGGAGACCGGGGCAAAAATTGTGATTAGGGGTAAGGGTTCTGTTAAAGAAGGGAGGTTGCAACAGAAGCAGAATTTGAAACCTGATCCTTCGGAGAATGAGGATTTACATGTTTTGGTTGAGGCTGATACGCCTGAATCACTAGAGGCTGCTGCTGCTATGGTGGAGAAGCTGTTGCAGCCGGTAGATGAAGTGCTTAATGAGCATAAGAGGCAGCAGCTAAGGGAGCTTGCTGCTTTGAATGGGACTATTAGAGATGAAGAGTTTTGTAGGCTGTGTGGTGAGCCTGGTCACCGACAGTATGCATGTCCTTCCAGAACTTCAACTTTCAAGAGTGATGTGCTGTGTAAAATTTGTGGTGATGGTGGACATCCAACTATTGATTGTCCGGTTAAGGGGACAACTGGGAAGAAGATGGATGATGAGTACCGCAACTTTTTGGCAGAGTTAGGAGGTACAGTCCCTGATTCTTTGGCCAAAGCTGAAGATTCTTCGTCCCCTGTTGGGTCTGGTGGTGCTGGAAGCAATCCACCTTGGCAGAGTAGCAGTAATGCCAGTAGCGCACATGCGGGTTTGGGCTCTAATCCTAGTAAACCTAAAGATTATGATGATACCAACTTGTATATTGGCTACTTGCCACCTACTCTTGATGACGATGACTTGATACGCCTTTTTACTCCTTTTGGTGAGATTGTGATGGCTAAGGTTATAAAGGACCGTGTTACTCAGTTGAGTAAAGGGTATGGTTTTGTGAAGTATTCCAGTGTTGAACAGGCCAATTCTGCCATTAATGGTATGAATGGCTATCGTTTAGATGGACGGACTATTGCAGTTAGAGTTGCTGGGAAACCTCCTCAACCCACCGCTCCCCAGCCTCCTGCTGCTCCAGCAATGCCACCGTATCCAGCTGCAAATCAAGCTCCAGGCGCTTATCCGTCTCAGCAATTCACATCTGGTGGGCCTCTAGGTAGCTCTGCTCCAGGGAGCTACGGTAATCCTGTTCCTTGGGGACCACCTGTCCCTCCCCCTCCTTATGCTTCCTATCCCCCTCCGCCACCTGGATCAAGTTATTATCCTCCTATGCAGAATCAGTCTGTGCCTCCTTATGGTGTTCAGTATCCTCCTCCGCCTGTTCCTAGTAGCACTTCCACACAAACTGTACCTCCTGGTGATGCACATCAAAATTTCCCGCCTGGTGTGCAATCTCAGAGTAGTGCATCTGGTCAATCCCCTACATCTAGTGTATATGGTTCAGCAGCTACTTTGGCACCGCCTGCACCACCTGCCTACTTGCCTTCTTATGGCTATGCACCTTATTATGGAGCACCTCCTCCCCCACCTCCTGCTGATCAGGCACAAAACATGCAGAATGTCCCATGGGCTTCAAATCCTCCAGCGCCACCTGTATCAGCTTCAGAACAGTCATCCCAGGGAGTAGATATGGAGTATGAGAAGTTCATGGCAGAGATGAAATAATTCTTGTTTTGGCATACTGCTTAAATGCAATGAGGTATTGATACTTATCTTTTTTTGTTCACTTTACAGTCAATTATGTTTTGCTTAGCTATCTTTTATTATATTGGGCTGACAACTATAGAATTTGTTTCCTGTAACTAATCTTCTCTGCAATAGCTTTTTAGCTGAATATATATCCCGGCTTCTTTGGATTTGGAAAATGTAAGATAGATTTGTCCATAGCATTGTCATATACCTTGTAAATATTGTGTGTTGGAAGATTTACATTGTGCTGACATTTATGTCTTTTAATTAAGATGCTGTGAACTGAAATCAGGCTGAAGTATTACAGTATCGTTTTTAACTCTTTAATGTCAGTTGGACAGCAATTTTTTTTTTTTATTATCATCCATTACAGGAGACGAAACTCTTTAGAGAGAGCAGTTTGAGGACAGGCCCTCGTTTTGTCATGAAACTCGAGCTAATTTAAGTGTAGTGACTAGACAAAAATAAAAAATTAAAAAACTCGTCAAAAAAAAAGGTGTAGTGACTAGACAGACAGTATCACAGTAGGCTTGAGGATTTGATCTTTTAAGTATTGTGGAAGGAACTAGGCTGATATTTTAGGAAACTTTGACTTGGGAGTTAACATGTTAGTGTTGAAGAGAGGATTGCGAGTTTGTTTTATAAATCCTTTCAATTTTATTTTATCTATTTTTTGACATCTTATCCTTGTCAATTCTTCACTGTGGTTTGTCATGAAGTTTGGTGTGCAGTTCTCAGCTTCTGCTGTCTGAATGTCGGTATTCCTTTCTGCTTCTGGTAGATCTATACGCTTCTTTCTAGTATCATATAACTTGGTGGGAATTATTTTCATAGAATGTATCCATGCTGCTGTATCTTTTGGCTTGTTTCCATATTTTCGTTTGCTAACCTTTGTCATTGTTATTGTTGTAATATTCTTGACAGGCATCATGTTTCTTGGAGCTGTTGTGAACCTGATTTCTTACATATTGCCATGACTTGTTGGAAGTTTAGGACTCACCTCTTTAACCTTGCTGTACTGTTATGACATTTGCAGAGACGTGGGATACAAGTTGAGCTCCTCCAGCCTCTATTAAACTAGCAATTCTGAAGTTCATCTATTTTACGTTTTCTTATGCAGGACTTCTCTGTACTGGGATCTCATGGCATTCATGGATCTGCATCTATTTTTGTTTGATATTATTTTTGCTGTCAAGATAGCTATATGTTACCTGGATAAGACTTGCTGATCCTGTATTGTATTTTTTTGTCAACTTTAATGTTTCACCTTCATACTTTTTCTTAATATCCTAATTTTTTTTTCAAGTGATTACCACGTGTTCCTTTCCTCACTGTGGTGGAAGTTTTCTTGTTGACAATGCTGCTCACTGATGGTATGTTCAGAGCCTCGATAGCTGTTCCTGCAGGATGGAAAAGGCTCCTATGGGGGGTTTTTGATTACTTGACATTTATAAATCTACCCAAGCCATTGATTTTTTCACATGCCAGATGACATTGCTAATGTAATTATTGAGCTGTTATTGGCAGGTTAAATAGCAATTCCTTGTGGTTGTATGCTTGGATTCTGCAAGGGAGAATGTTGCTGCTTTTTGGATGATCCATGAATTTTGTGACTTCATAAATTCTTCTTCTAGTTATTGATAATTAGTCTGATTCTACAACTCTCTAGATGTACTATGATAGATTGATAGCTCAGATTATGTTATAAATCCATTGTTGTGCTTCATTAATTTTAGTAGAAGTCTCTACATAAGTTATACCCTTTGAGGTTTGATCATTCCCTGGGTATTGGTGGTACCTAGAGAAGATATACTATTAAGATAGACAACCAGTGATAGTTTTGGTCTAGACTTGTGTTGTTGAGAAACTTGAGATTTAAAGAAGTATTATAAGGATAGGTAAGGTACATTAGAGTCATCAATAAGAGGGAGAATGAGGATGTGTAAAGAACTACATCATTTAATGTTCATATTAAGGGTATGGAACAGCCCGTTGTCTCGTATTTGTATGGAAATTGAATCTGGATTTTGTAATTATCAGGTTAACCTTGAATAGTTCTGAGGTCTGTGTAGCTTTCATTTTACAGGAGGGTGTTATGAGTCATATTGCTGTGATAGCATATATTGTGCTCTTGGAATGTCGTTTCCTTGTGAATTCATCTTCGTTTCTAGTAATATGTCACTTAGGTGGCCTGTTTTTCTTATAGCCTTAATTTCATTGTCATAGGCTCATAGCCCCCATAGGTGTTCTACATAAACTGTCCTAGTTTGTAATCCTCCAATCACCTTCCTTACATAGTATCAAGCTGAACCAAATACAAGTGTACATACAATGGTTGATATTGTTATATGTGTTCATTGCTTTCTTTTGATGTCAAAGTGAGTCTTTACCTTCAAATTCTAGATGTTTTATGTTTTCTTTTGTCTGGTATGTAGATTTTGTAGGTATGATAGATGAAATACGAGCATTGATTGTTTTTTCTGCCTTGTCATTTTCTTATGCCAATCACCTACCTATTTCTAAAATTTCCCCCCATTGATGATCTGATTATACTTTTAAAATATCAAGTGGTAATCATTTGATTGAGTCAATGGTTATACAGTATACACATATAAGGGCGCACACACTGACATGTTCCAGTTATCGTTGATAGTTTTTTAGGCCATGAACTACTACATGATTTTTGCACGTTGTGCATAGTAAATAGTCCATCAATAAGCTGTACTCACTCTCCTTGATCTTTGTTCCTGATCCTTACATCTCACTTGTTTGACTTTGTGGTGACCTCGATATCTCACATTGTGCCTTTTTGAGTGTGGTTGAACATCAAAAATTGTTATTTGCTAATTTATTCTGTGCCTTGTTTGCCTTCATGCCTGTTATTATATGTTACTTTGTGACTGGTTGAACATCAAAAATTGTTTGATCTTTATTTCCTGATCCTTACTGGTTTCTATTACTTTGTGACTGTTTTTATTCAACTGTTTATTTGTTGTGGGGCTAGTCTACCGAGTTATTAATATTAGATGGCAGTTTCTTATTTTACCTTCATATGTGTGTGATTATTATCCTTGATGAATGTCCTGATGTTACAACCTTTTTGTTCTTGTTGATCTATTGATATTTGACTGATACTATCATCAGCCTTCTATCTCCTTATAGATTTTCTAGTGTTAAAATTTTTCTAAAAATAACTTACTAATATTTTGGCTGATGATATGTCTATGTTAATCTTTGTACAACTAGTATATAGTATGTCAGGGGGTAGGAGGCCTTCAAAAGAAGTATGCTGCTGTTGCTAATCTGCTGGACATCTGTTTATCTCATCCTTTGAAGAAGTTGGTATTCTCGTCCGATTGCGAACAAGTGAGTTAATTTAGGGGGTGATGTTGTACTGCTAGGTATTAATGAGACGCTAAGGGTTGGTTTTTTTTTTTTTTTTTTTTTTTTTTTTTTTTTTTTTTTACATTATAATATTTATTCGGATTTGGGGGGTTGTGGTGTGGGCTTGATACAAGCATCTATTGCTACTAGGATATGGGTCTGGTAGGCAGATTTATTTTTTTTAAGGAATTTTTGTTTAAGGTCAGATTATCCTGCTTTATGATTTGCATTTGAAATTATGAATTATCCTCACTTTTGTGAAAAACTGTCTAGTTTTTTTTGTTTAACCATGGCTATGCTGTGAATTTGTGATGACGTGCTTTGTTATTTATTTTTCTGATTGTATCATGTATTCCTGAGATCGTATGACTTGTGGTTTATACCTGTTACCTGGTGCTGTTATTCGTTTCCACAGAATACAGGTGAAAACAACATAAACATTTGGTTAAGTTGTTGGTACAAGTAGTCTAACTGGCCTTTATGTTCAGGTAAGTGCAGTAAGTATACTAGATTCCTGAGTGCATGTTGTCGTGTACATGCTGTTTGGGAAACATGGAGACGCTGTGCTCCTTTCTGATGGCGATAGTGGTTTTCTAAGTGTACTGGGGGTAGTTTTCTAGTGGGGATTTCCTCCCTTGGTGCATCTGCATATACTTTATATTTATGTAGTGGCTTGAAAGGCATTTAATTGCGTAACCTGGTAAATGATAGGGACCAACGGCGGCAAGTCTGCCACTTTGATTGTTTCCCACTTGCATGATACAGAATAGTGCCTATTTGCTTTGCTCTTGACTTGAGTCATCTGAAACCATTTCTAGGACACCTGGGAAGTGTTATTGTCATTTGTTGGCCTTTTATTATTGAGGGGTTCCGCACACTTAATTTCTGGTTGAATTTGAATCATTGAGTTTTTTTTTTTTTTTTTTTTTTTTTTTTTTTTTTTTTTTTTTTTTTTTTAGGGACAGTGTTTATGATGTTTACTTTGCCCCAAATGATTACCAATGTGTATAAAATGAAACAACATACGAGTATTATACTATCTTATGATCTTTTGGCGGGCAATTATGTGTGTATCGTCAGGATTTAATTTGCAAACTTTCTTAAAATACATAGACAATAACACAACAGAAAAATAAGCTATGATCTTAGATCTGTCAAAAATTGACCCAACTCGAAATACTGACTAAAACTTGATATATCTAAACTCGAAAAAATGGTGACCAAAACCCGACCTGAAACCAATCGTAGACCCGAGCTGACTCGAGTATTGTGAGACTCAAACCCGAACATGAACTGACTTGAAAATAACCTGACTCGTAAGTAATCCGTAAATTATTAACCTGAACCGAACTCGACTTGAACCGAAATTGATCCAAACTCGTTTAACCTGTCAGAACCCGAATTTGACCCGACATGTTACTAACCTGATTTGAATTAAACCTGAACCGTTCCATACCCAACCCGAATTTAACCCAACCTGAATTTAACCTAACCTGTTACAAACCCAAACCGACTTATTATTGACCTAACCCAAAGTTTATTAGACCTACTACTAACCCGACCCAAAAATTCAACCCAATTTGTTACTAAACCGACTCAAAATCAACCAACTTGTTATTGAGCCGACCTAAATTCAAACCAAATTGTTCCTGACCCGATTTCAAATCACTTTAAATGCAATTTAGACCACCTTGTTATTGTTGATCAAAGAATTTTATCTAGGGCGACCAAGTTGGTCCAGGGCAACAAAATAAAGGAGCATCATCCTCAAATTTAAGTTAATTATAGTATATATTTGTTGTATGGTCAAAAGAGATAATTATCTTCTTAAATTATAAACTATATTTCCCTAGTATATTGCCGTATATTGATATATATTATAGTCAAATGAAATAATTTGCTGGATAAAAATGATAATTATCTATTCATAGTTAGTTGAATCCGAATATGACCTGACTTGGAAAATGATTCGACCTGATTGTAACCTACAAATTATTGACTTGAATAACCCGAATTAAATCCGAGAATGACTCGACTTGGAAATGACCTAACCTGATTATAACCCGCAAATTATTGACTTGAACCGAACCCGATTTGAACTCGAGAATGACCCGACTTGAAAATGACCCAACCTGATTATAACCTGCAAATTATTGACTTGAACTGATCCTTACTCAAACCTGAGATTGACCCAACCTGATTATAACCTGCAAATTATTGACTCGAACCGAATTCGACTCGAACTCCGGAATTAACCTAACCCATAAAAACCCGAATTAATCCTCACCTATTGTTCACCCGACCCTATTATAACCCGACCTGTTATTAACCCAGCCAAAATCCGACCCAAATCCGATAAAAAGTATGACCCGACTCAAGCGTGACCCAACCCAAATCCGACTCGCATAGGTTATGGAATTTATTCGAATTGATCCGACCCGATTTCACCGACCCAAAGCCGACCTGTTTACCCGAATTGACAACTCTACTCGAAACCTCCAAATTTTATCAAAAAACGTGGATATTTGTCTTCAATTTTGGATTTTTATTATATTTTACTTTTTTTCACCCGGAAATTAAAATTGCCGAAATGTTTACCATGGTCCCTAATACCCTCCGGAAGTCCAATTGGGTGGGTGGAACCATCCAATTTGCCTTTAAACGACCAATTTACCGGTTTACAACTTGCACTGATTTCATTAACTCAAGCTTACCATGAACATTTTTGACAACATATAATGATCATATATGGATCCAAACGTCATTATATGACCCCGATATGTATCCCCCTAAAATATCAATACTTTTCGACACCAGACCTCGAACATTCGAAATTTCTCAAAAGCGTGGATATTAGCCTTCAATTTTGGAATTTTTTGACGTTTTTTTGCCCATATATAAAAATTGCCAAAATGTTTACAATGTTCCCAAATACCCTCAAGGAGTTCAATTAGTAGGGTGGAACCATCCAATTTGCCTTTAAATGACCAATTTACCGGTTTACAACTTACACCGATTTTATTAATTCAAACCTACCACAAACATTTATGATAACAAATAATGATCATATATGGTTCCAAACGACATTATATGACCCCGAAATGTATTCCCTATAATTTCAAGACTTTTCGACATTGTACTCCAAAGACTCTAAAAATTCTCAAAAAAACATGGATAACCTTCAATTTTTGATTTATTTTTTTTGACTTTTTTCGCCTGGAAATAAAAACTACCGAAATGTTTACCATGGTCCCTAATATCCTCCGAGAGTCCAATTGGATGGTTGGAACCATCCAATTTGCCTTTAAACGGCCAATTTACCGATTTACAACTTGCACCGATTTCATTGACTCTAGCTAATCATGAACCTTTATGGAAACATATAATGATCATTTATGGTTATAAAAGGCATTATATGACCCCGAGATGTATCCCCCAAAACCTCAAGGATTTTGGACACCGGGTCTCGAAACCTCCAAATATTTTTCAAAAAGCGTGGATATTAACCTTAAATTTTGGTATTTTTTTTACTTTTTTTTCGCTTGTAAATAAAAATTGCCGAAATATTTACCATGGTCCCTTATACCCTCCGGGAGTCCAATTAGGTGGGTGAAACCATCCACTTTGCCTTGAAATGGTGAATTTACCGGTTTACAACTTGCACCGATTT